GGAGAGCCGCTCGGCGGCGGCAGCACTGCTTTCGGCCGGACAGCAGCCCCCCGGAGCCCCGGAGCTCCCCTCCAGCAAAGGGCAGCAGAGCAGCTCGGACACCGAGTCGGATTTCTATGAGGAAATCGAGGTGAGCTGCACCCCGGACTGCGCCACGGGGAGCGCCGAGTACCAGCACAGCAAAGGTACCCAACTCCTTCCCATGCCTCCAGCCCCGCGCCCGCTCCGGGGCTGGGTGGCAGCACTGGTGGGGCGGGGGGGAACTGCCGGAGAGGGTTTTCCCCTCCCCAGCTGAGCGAGGGGCAACGAAATCGTGTGTGTGTGTGTGTGTCTGCGCGTGTGTGATCTCTTTCCCGACTGATTGCTCACCTCCCTGCCACCGGGAGGCTTGTTTGGGAGTCAGAGGACACGACACCGGGCAGCCCCCGCGTCCCTGGAGGGGAGCCAGGCTTCCCGTCGTGGATGCGTCAGGTCTGCAGCTTGTCCCGTAGGATCTTTTCGGCCAAGACAGCCACGCGCTCTCCTCTTCAGTCTGTTCTATTTTATTTTTATTCCTCCCCATCGCCTAGACAGTGCATACTTCAGGAAATCCCTTACGATCCTCCACACCGGCGGGGTTTTTTTGTATGTGTGTGTGTGTGTGGGTAAGATCAAACGGGTTTTCTGGCCAAGAGCTGTTTGTGGTTTTGCAGGGTGAAATGTGCCCGGGCGAGTGCGGAAGCGCCCATAAAGATCATAAAATCGCTTGCCGACTCATGCCAGCCCCAAGTGCGGTAGTGAGGGCCTTGTTTGCAAGTTGGGTTAAAAAAAAAAAAAAAAAAAAAAAAAAGGAGAGGTCCAAATTACCTTGTCACTTCTATGTCTCGGTGGCGCCAGCTCGGAAATGGTCCCAATGAATTAATTGCCTTTGGTCTCGGGCACAATGAGGGAGAGTTGCATTTGAAAGGAAAGGCAGCGGACAGGCCCCTTTTCCCCCTGCCCCCACTTCCCACTCCCTATTCCCACCTTCCCAGCCCGGCAAAGACGTCCCTACCCTGACAACAACCCACTTCTCCCCCCTCCCCGTTCCTCAATCACTTCAAGAAGCCGGGAAGCGTAGAGAGCGCTGTCTGTCCTCCCTTGTCACTTAGAGCGTCGTTGAAAATGTGCCATCCTGTTGTTTGGAGGCTGAGCGGAGATCCCTAAGGCCTCACCTTCCCCTCAGAGAGAGCGGTCTCTGTCTGCTGGCTGCTCCACTCCCGGGTCCTTGCTGGCCTGGAGGAAGGGACAGCTGAGCCGTGCTCCATGGACGGCGGGCACACCTGCCCTTTCCTGACGCTCAGGGTCGGGGGATGCTGCGGCGCTCCGGTTTCCCAGTGCGGGGAGGGAGCGGGAGGCCCAGCGAGCAGACACCGCCATTGCGGGGGGTGTGTGTCGGGGAGGGATGGGGACAGGTAACCTCCCAGCCAGAGCGAATAAGCCCCCCCTCAAACCCTTAGGCGGTGTTCCATCCCCCTTCTCGCCGCCCTCCTCCCCGGTCCTTCTTGGATCTCAGTACCCCGATACCCTCAGTACACCGGGGCAGGCACGGAAACGCCGCACGGGGCGGAATGGGGGGCTGGAAATGTGTTCTCTGGGGAGGCGGACGGCGAGCATCCCTCGATGCCCGGCCGTCTCCGAGCGTGTGTGGTTGCCGGGCTCCCCTCGCAGGG